TAATGATGTAATAAATTCTGCATGCTAATGCATTTATTTTAGTCGACTTCACTGTATTCAATCTCCTTTACATTTTTGATCGATCGCTTTTTATATATACTGTATATATGGATATAACCTGTTTAAAAACATACTGTATATTTCTTTTAAGAATCCTCAGAAATAGTGCCAGTGCCTTTGTTTTAGAAAGAATAAAAAGGTGATTTAGAAAAGAACTATTGCAAAAAAAATGCTATTCATAGTGAAGACTATCTGCCGCTCTGAATCAAATGTGGTTTGTTCCCCGATTACTTACAGGAGAATTTAACATTTTGTCTGCTTCATCAACTGTATGCTTAAGAGCTAACATGGAGCTTAAACATGTAGGGACTGCTTCATCAACCAAGCAATCTCCTATCAACTCGGTGAATTCCTACAGGACGAGGCCCTTTCACCTTTCTTAAATGGATGTAGACCACCACAAACATCTAAATGATTGGTGTCTTCCCCCTCAGATGGTGATCAGTGCAGTCAGAAGCCTTTTGGTTGAAACCAGAACCTTCAGAAACGCCACACTCAATAGTAAAACGGCATCATAATAAAAGGTTCACACTATATCAAAACAAATTGTGGCCACTAAAGGAATCAATTTTTGACATTTCACCTCCATCTATAGAGTTCACTGACCCTGGCTCGGAGATTTACAGCTCCGTGTAGCCTCAATCAAAGTGTTTGTCAGCAACGCATTTTGTCGAAAGTTTTAGTGTTACACGTGCAGATCATGACATGTATGGATTTAATGGGCCCTTGAGCCACCCTTATACCTCATGTCTCACACACACATAGGATAAATATTGTAGCTCTCAGTGTAGTAACACAGGTGGAGATTTGTGGATGAGACGCCCCATTTCTAATCTCAGATCTATTACAGTGCTTCTGAATGAATCATCAAAGCTATGGGTGTCACTCGGGAATAGTTAGCTGCATCTTGAAGTCAATAACAATTTCTGATGGGGTTTGTGAGGGTGGTCACAAATGGTAACTTTTATGAATAATGAAATGTTTGAAAATCTAAAGAGAGCTTCTACTGGTGTTTAGATTTCTCTTCTTAAATATTAGAAAACATTTACTCTATATGTTAGAAAATATATTCTATTACTGACATTAAGTTCATTATTTTCTTGTATTTTTATAAAGTTAAACACTTACTCTTGCACAAGGTTAGGAACTCATGTCAGCAGTAAGGAGAGGAACAGATACCAGTAAACAGGAAACAACAGAGAATCAGAGAGCAAGAACTACTCAAGCTGAGGATTCCCTGTAAGCAGCAGAGATGACTTTTCTCCATCGCGGTGAGAGGTGGTTTCGACTAGCCCGGGGAGAGGGATCATGAGTACAATATTGACTTTAAATTACAGCAATAGCTGCTGCTCATGCTGTCTCAGGACCATGCTGCGGATCAAACACAAAGATCAGGCCAGGATTAGGAGAAAGCCACTGACAAGCGTCAAGCCGCCTCTCTGCTGCGGCAGCACGTGTACTCACACAGCACCTCCCAAATCTCACACTAAGCTCTCCTCCGCCTCTCAACATGTAACACACAGACCTAACAGTCACCCGATTTGAATTTCAAAGCCAAAATTGATCACAAACAAAATTATCTAAACACAAGGGTTTAAGGTGCTTGGCTGGTGGTGTGTGTGTGTGTGTGTGTGTGTGTAGACTTTGTCAAGGGAGATCTATTGTGAGGACTTGAGGGCGGCTGTGTTTCCTCCCTGATGTTTCAAGACTCTCACGATCACTTACAGGATACAGCCTTGCTGTTGCAACGCCTTGTAACTGGGCTTTTATTTTCCTTTTCCTGGCAGTTAAACACAAATAACAGCATGGATGATGTGCCGGGACTCATTGTCTGTGCTCAGGGAGGAGTGCAGGATATGACTGGTGTGATAAATGATCGCGCCTTGTGCCTGGCGTGACAAAGAAAACTGCGGCACAATCTGCATGTGCTCCATCCTTTCACCATCATTAGGTGTAATTGGGACTCATGGCGAGGCGTGTTCTTTTTTCCGCTGTGGAAGTATCGGGGAATGGAGCTGGAACTCCTAATAGGACAAGTTACAGAAGGTAGACATGTCCAGGCCACTGCTACAGCACTTCAAAAAGTATGTCCCAGTATCACACTGCTGGACTTAATGGAAGCTCAACAGATATGTGCCTGTGTCAAATCTCATTAACTCTAATGTCAGAGCCACTCTATTGTCATGTCAAACTACGCTTTTTGCTGTTGACCTTCACAGTGTACACACGGAGGCTGTTATTGGCACCTGTCTGAGGCGGGTGGAGCATGCTCCTGGAATCTAAACGTGCTTATGAAAAAAAAAAAAAAATTACATCCATCTAGGCACTCATTACATTTTGCTGCTTGTAAGTTTTAATGCTGATGCATTTTATCACAAGGTTAAAATCTGACTCACAACTTCTCATGCACATTTTCTTTTTCCTGCAGCACTATTTTTTTATTCAATGACAATATCAAATCAACGCAAATTAAGATAAACAGTAAGTTTGGAGAAAACTAGCAAAGGAATAATGCAGAGGGAAAATGTGCACGTTTCCTGTTTGTCAACCGAATACTCTAAAAACCCTCACATGCATCCAGCACAATAAGTTCTATCAGCAGCAGCAGGATCACAAAGTCTTTGTTTCATGACCTCCGCCTGTATATCCTTTCCCCTCCTTTCGAATCAAAGCCCCCACACCATCTTTAGCATTTAGAATTAATTGCACAGTTATCCTCAAATTAATTCCTAACTGTTTTACAACACACAGAGAGAAAAGGGCAAACCAATTATTATTCTGTTTTCACCTTACAGAGGGGGATATTATGCAAATGATCTTCTCTACATGAGAAGGAAAAGGGGCTTTATTTTCCTCAGCAGATGCTGCCTAGACAGTCTAGCATTCTGTGGGGGACAGAAAGTGGGGCTGCTGTGAAGATCTGATCGCTCCACCTGGCTTCCTACTGACTCCATATCCAAGCAATAATAGAAAACACACTGATTAATTATTTATTTTAAAGAATCTTTTTTTTTTTTTTTCTTCATTTCAGGCTGGACATGTAAGGTTAAAAGGAATGTTCCAGGTGCTGTCTGGAAGTATTTTACAACTTCTGTGCTTACGAGCTAGAGGTGTTTCTTGATGGAAGACAAAGTCCCTCGGCTATGCAGACCTGCAAAATGTTTTATTTGCTTCTTTCCCAGGAAGAGAGAATACACATGAAGAGCGCACAGTGAGCCTGTGAGCCAGACATCACGATGTGGCTGACAGGATGGCAATGCTGGGTTTCAGAGAGGACAGGGGGCATCTCACCTCCCTCAGCTGTTCCGCACTTCTGACCACAGCGAGTGTTTATTAATCTGAGACCTTGAGACCTCGTGGAAGTTGCTGAATGAAAACTAAAAAAAAACACACAGACACGCAGCATTTTCAACTTCTTAGCAGTCAGGGGGTCATGATGCTTTGAAACGAGCTGCTTTAAAATCAGCTTTTTCTTTCACAAGGTAGAACAAAACCAAAGCTTTAATGAGCTGTGATGATGAGTTGAGGTCAAAGCGCTTATCGTCTTTACAAATCAGGAGAAGATGTGCTCATGGAAATAAGCTCCCATGAGTATCCATCATCACCTCAAAAAACTGCACGCAGCGGCGCAGCTCCAGGTGCTCGAGCAAATTGGGGCTTTCGATGTGGAATGGATCAAACACAGACTCAATATTCATTAATCTTTCTGACTGTGATCTGCCGCAGATCTGTGAGCGGGTGAGGGTAATTGTGTACCTCATTGTGCGCGTGTTTGGACCAAACTTAATCATGATGTCAGGCTGTTAATAAAAGGTTATTAAAGGAACAAAGATCCAGGTTTTACATATGTTAGGCAGGGGAGGTCTCGGGAACCCCTGTCTCTGAGGTAAACACGGGCCTTCATGACAAATGATGCTCATGCTGAGATCAGATAGTTAACAAGAGATCCCCTTATTAACCAGGTCTGCATAGATAATTGGCACTTGAGCCTCACATTTTGAATCTGGCCTGAGCAGTGTCATTTATCAAGAAGCCGAGCATGCTGTCAAGGCTCCATAATAAGCTGCAGTAACTGATGAATCAAGATTAGGCAGATAGATTGAGAATGAAGGAGGAGGAGAAAATGGGACACAGCCGCGTGGCAGGGGGCTTCGCTTGATTTTCATGACATTAAAGCGGTATTATTCCTAACGTGGAGGGAATCTATCCTGCAGTAGAAGCTATAGCTGTAAAATAGCTCCAACTCAGCAGCATCATGATGAAGAATCTTAATCGAGACTGCAACACTTTGCTCTAATCTGCATACTGTGTGTGTAAACTGTTTGACCTGGAGATAAAATGTTGTTTTGGTGTAACACTTCACATTTTAAAGTTAACTGTTTAGCACCAATACACCAAGTCAAATTCCTTGTACGTGTTAATGTACTTGGCAATAAACCCTGATTCTAATTTTGATTCTGAAATCCAGCTTTGGATGTTTTAGTTATACATAATATACTCAAACATGTTACTTCTACAAATACCACATTCAAATTAATGATATGCTTAAAAAAAACAAGTGTTTATCAACACAGTCTATTAATCACTTTGTAAATCCCCAGAAGGTTAATTAGTGACAAATCTGATTGGAAATGACTAATTCAGATGGTAGAGGTGATTCATTTCCGGGTTGTTTTTAGTCGGCTGAGTATCAAAGTTATCTACATTTTTAAGGGGTTTGACAAAGAAGAAGCACCTTCAATATGTCACCTTGGGCTACGTCATTTTATTATGGGCATTTTTTAATTTTGTGGCATTTATTTAATAAAAATGACATTAACAAAGTTAAGTAAAAAAAATATGAAAACCTCTTCATTGCAAATACAGCACCAAGCATTAGTTTCAGCCATACGTTAACATTGCTTTTATTTGCCTTACATAAATATAAGTCAAAAGGACAAGAGAGAGATTGCTGCATGGGCTTCACTAATAACTATTGTTCACAGTTTGAGTAAATTGTTGTTGTTACACGATATAATTGGAATTAGCGAAACAATGCAGGAGCACATTAAACCTATTACTGCTGTACAACAATATCAATCAAAGCAATTAGAGCAGATACAACTGCCCCATCAGAAGAACACAATTAGGTGCATTCAATCTAAACTTGCCCGTTTCCACTGCTTGGTAAGTGGCTCATTAATATGAGTGTAAATGTGTATGTGTGTTGTCGTGTGTGTGTGCACCACCCCTCTTTTTATCTCACTGGTATAGAAGTGTAGATAATTACAGATGATGGGCCGGTGATCAGCTGCAGGTATGGGAGCCACCTCAGGCCTCGCCCAGCCTCTCACCTCCAGCACTCCCCTGCTCCGTCAGGCATGTTTGGCAAGTGTCTCCTCTCCCCAAGTCTCCAGCTGTCCAGTGGGGTGCGCCAAGTCACAGCAGGAGCGCCTGCCTCTCCATCTATGGCCCATCTCTTTCAAGGAGTGTGATGCAAGTGTGTGTTTGGGGTGGAGGGGGGGTGGAGGGGGTCGTCTCTGTACTCACATTACTCGCAAGCAGACGGAGCATGCTGCCAGCACCCAGCATGTCCGCCCACACGCCCCTGCCCTGCTGGTTAGACCTCACGGTTGGAGGAGATGATGGAGAGAATCTGGGATCCAGGAGGGGGGTGGATCCAGAGGAATCTGAGAGACTGAGAAAGACAGAAGCTCAGAAGCTTACCTCCATCCCACAGGCGATCCTCGGACAGCTCAACCTGATATGGTAGTCTGAAGTCTCCTTGTTGGGGTTCTTTTGGGAGGGGTGATTTTTTTAAATGACAGCTAGACCATTTGTTTGCTTTTTGTATTATCACCTCCCTATTTGACTGCACTACAAATTCTACAGAAGACCTTCTCTGTGCATTAGATTAACATTTAAATTGATGTAAACTATACAACTTCAAGTCATTATTGTTAGGCACAGCACTAGATAGTTTATCCCAACTGGCTTTACAGGAGTAATTAATGACACATATTTCCAAATACGAGCAAAGTAATTGGTCCAAAACTAAATTTAAGAAGCACTCCTTTTGTGCTTGATGTCAAACTATTTACAGTATTACCAGAATACGTGGCTTTTTTTGGAATACAAAGGGGAAAAAATAGGCATTTAAGCATTTTTTTAATAGATGTAGCAATTAATCATTTATTAAAGTTGGTGAAGAATCATTGCAGCAAAATATTTTAAGCTGCTTAGAAGCACTTAAAAAAGCAATACTCAGCTAATGTTTATCATGAACAGTGGGACCCACTCTCAACAACATCCAAACACCAGTAAGTATGGCTCATTACTAACAGCCAGCATTACTCTCATGTGCCCACAGGGGGCTCTAGTGTACCACATATTTTACGGCCCAGGCTCTGTTAAGCGTCTACTTAGAGACCAAGGCACTGATTGTGTTGAGGGTGGACCTTTTGAACTGCCGTGCTGTACGATTGATATAAACATTAACCAAGCTTTTGCACAAATCAAAACATTAGCATGCTGTAATAGCGCAAATTAAACATATAAAAAAAAAAAAAAAAAAACAGGGATATAGTCACAGTGTAATGTTCTGCTGCAAAGTGGTGAAAAAGCTGTGAATACAGAGCTTATCCTGATTCAGTTATTTCTGACTATAAATATGTGTGTGTGGGTATAAGCGTGTGTGTGTCTGTCTGAAATTCCAAGGTGGTGAACAGTACTTGATGAGCTAGCTCTGGAGACCTCTGAATTTTAATGATGTTGGAGATGATATTGTGTGTCCTTCAGCTTGTTATACTGACACAAGCACTCCATAAATCATCATACCTAGCTATCGTAAAATCAATACCAAACTGCTACCTCAGCGCTAACCCGTAATAAGTTTTTCAGCCGTCTAACAGCTTAAACTTTGCTGTAATGCCGTTCGACCTATAGGTTAAGATCAGAGCATGCTTAATTTGTTTTGTAATAGAGACTTTCTAATCCTTAATGAAGCGCCTATTAGGGAGGCTTTTGTTGGCACATTGGTGATCAGTTGGTGGAACAGCCATTGCAATTAAGTTTGAATCTTTGTCCTGAAGCAAAAAAGGGGAAGAGAAAATAAAAAAGGAGGGAGGAAAAAAAAGAAAAGCCTGAACGGTCAATAAATGTTAATCCAGTCAGAAGTCGTCCGAGCCTTTGAACAGGACTCACACTGTTTTTTTTTCACATGCACTTGTTTCATCCTTCCCTAAGAGAGGCTATCCCTAAAGGATACCACCACTGATCCTGAGACCAGACTACCACTCACTAATAAGAGCCCATGTGTAAACAATATAGTCCACATTAAACACATTAGTACTAGGCTTTGTGTGAAATAAAAGCTGTGGATTTATTCACAGAAATGGCTCTTAAGCATGCGGTATGTTCTAGTTGCAAAAGGTTTACGGTCAGTTTAAATCAATCAAAGGACTATAAGCTTTTTATGGCTTTAAACAAGTCAGAGCTACTTTATTATATTACTCTTGTCTTACTTCGTGCACCTAATTGATCTCTGCATGCTGTATTCGGGGAGTAAACAAGATGCAAATGACTGAAGAAAACTGAAAATGAAGTCTCATGTATCCTTGCAGGGTTTTTTTTTTTTTAGATTCATAGCTATAACTGGGGCAGCATTTTCAGAGACACACAACATATGTAAAAGCCTTTGCACAAGAGAGAAGCCATTGCCGCAATTTCTGAAGCGTAAACAGCTTATGAAAGTCAAATGGATATGTGGCATAATCTGACACGGCGAGTCGCTGCTTCAAAAACATCCCTAACAACCCGCGATGCCAGACAACAGCGACAATAGTTGCATGTTTTTAAACGCTCCACAGGTGATGGAGGTTTAATGTCTGCCAGGCGCAAGTGGACAAATTAAATTAGTTAGGGAGCATAAGTACATGATTCCTTTTGTTTTTATTTTGAAGCATAAAGTGCTAATGAACAGGCTCAGGAACACATGCTGTATATTTCATGAGTGCCAGCTTTGAGGTAACACTCCAGTCAACATAAAAGGTTGACATGGGTCACAAGCCCAAAATTTCCGTTTCCAAAGATTTAGCATTAAATCAGCGCCGCTATCAGCCCGTAACTCGTGTTTTGGCAAACGGAACACCCACATACCCATGGTTTTTAAGGCTGCTGATGCTGGCTGTGATTTACACGCAGTAAGAGGTGGTGACCAATTGTCAGAGGTCTTGCTGTCTGACCCTGAAACATCTGTTTTTAGGGTCTGCTGCTGATTACACTGCAGACAGGCAGCTAAGGGGACAATATTAAACTTGCAGCAAAGTGGCCTGAAAAGTGTTTGGCTTGCAAGAATTTACATGATATTGTCATACTGTGTCAAATATACTTCTTAAAATGTATTTATTTTAAAAAGCTTTAAAAGATAAATACTGATCTTTATGTCTGAAGGTGAACTTTCAACTCTTCACCTGATACAGATATAAAGGTATGAATCCCTCACCCAGGTCTGTCACAGTTTGATTCCTTTATTAAGGGACAATTAACCCTGAAACAGAATCACAAGTTTTAACATAAGATAAATGGCTTTTAAAATAAGGGCAAAATAGGAGCCCCTGTTTTTAGACACAAGTCATTTAAGTGGAAGTTTGAACATTTTTCCAAATGTTTGAGTATTTTTTTATTTTTTTTAGTGCAATTAATAAAAACAATAGAATAAATCTTTATTGTGCACTAGAGGTGGAAATTTGCCTCCAGATAAACTGTATGTGTGTGTGTATATATATATATATATATATATATATAGAGAGAGAGAGAGTCTGTTTTATTTATTTATTTATGCAGAATTTCACCGCCATTTATACACAACAACATTGCTGGAATATGTTTCATTGTTTATCGTAAACACTGATAGTTACCACTGTTAACCGCTGTGTGTGCATATAGGCTAGTTGGAGCGTCAATCTGAGCGAAAGATGAAGTTAAAGGAAAACAAAGAGAGAAAGAAAACTCAAATTAGGTATTTAAATGAACTTATTCAGTTAAAAGTAGTATTGTTGGTATTTATTTTCTAGATTATATAATGGAAGAAAGAAATCACATTTCTGTGATTTCTTTTTTAAAATCTTAACTAAGTGATGACACAAATTTAAATGTGGTTACAGACTTTAGGTTTCTAGTGTATTAAGAAGATATCAAAATGGAGAGTATTTACTCTGCTGATATATCCTCAGTATTTATTTTTAAATAAGAAATCTGTAAATAAAACTTGTGTTAGATTCATGGCGTTGTGTTTGTTCATGCCAATAGCGGCAGTCATGAACTTACAAAAGCTGTTGACACTGTGACTTTTCAGTGAGGTCTTTTATTTGAATACAGGGATAAATTGGAGCTGCCTGGTATCTAGCGTGTCTGTCACTGGCCTCCCATGTGGCTCTGATAGGGCTGTTAGGGAATGGCAAGGCCGGGCCGGAGCAGGGGGGCTACAGTGGGGGAGGGGAGGATTTACTCTTAAGGCCAGAGCTGGGATCCGTCAGTGTGGGCGGGTTAGGTCGTCTTCAGTATGACCTGCCACCTCTGGCAGAGCTCTGAAAAATGCAATCTGACCCTAAATGCTGAGCAGTCGTCCCTATCTGACACAAGCCTGCGTCATCTGAACTAACACTGCATACTGTAGTGGAATACTCCTCTCTTAATACTGTCTATACACCATGTGCCATTTGTACCTTGCAGTCTTGGTTATGTTTACATAAAATGTAACGAATGGATACTTGTTTAATTTTTACTTCAAATTTAATAATAATAATAATAAAAAGCAGGACAACAAACCTGTTTCATATCTGCATGAGAAATGCCGCGTAGCCTCTCAATTAAACCCACACAGCAGCATCCCCTTGTTACGACACGTAGACGTAGTTTTTCACAATTGTATGATCTGCCAAAAAGTCCAGTCTCGCCCTTTGTTGAGCACCTACAGAGGGAGAAGCACAGATAATAAAGGTCTCTTTATGATGAGGCTCCTGCACACACACAGCCACAAAAAAAAAAAACTTAAGGAAAAAAAAAAAGATCTATCAGGAGGTGGGAATTACATTGCCCTGTGCTGGGGTGGGAAAAATGAAGCAGGCATTTCTGAGCTAGCTGGCAACATAACCTTCAGAAACATCCTATTTTTCATTAGAGTTGTGTCAGACAGCTATGCCTTTAATAACATTCATCCCCACACCAAGGAGAGAATAACTCAAGCTTTAGGCACATAATGAATGGGAGAATAGGCCATGGTGCTGGCTCGCCAAACAGGCAGAGCTGCACTGCTGCACTGCTCGCTCTCCTCCTGTATTAACGGCATGCAAATGAACAGTCAGATGCGTCCTGAAGAGGCTTTCTAATGTGGCCCTGTTAATTACTGTCATTAGCACAGGGGCCAGGAGAAAGGGACTAATAAGCCACTGTCCTCATGATCTCTGCAATTGGAAGTCATCTTCAGCGATAAAAACATGTCAAAGCCCTGGTAAGGAAATTGCAAATTGCCAAATTTGCTGACAGAGTAGAAAAATTTGTGCTGACTCCAAGCAGCCTGCTAGTGATGGATGCATTCTTGACACAGTCTTGGTGTTTAGACTTAAAAAATAATGAGTATCAATGTCCCAGCCGAGGAAATATGCAAAGATGAAAGAGCGCTGCGTGGGTTTAATTAAGGGAAACAGAGGCAGGAGCTGCTTTCAAACAGAGTGACCCAACATGATCAGCTTCTTATTGCTGTCATTTTTGTGCTGAAATACAGCAGGTGAGGTGCAGGGAGAGCTTTAATAAGACCGACGTAATGTCAGAGCAGGCAAGCCAGAGGCAGCCAGTGGATTGTAAATGTAGGCAGGAGTTATTTTTGTGCAGAAAACACAGGTTTTAAAGGTGTAGAACATTACATTTGAGAGCGAGGCTCTCTCGGTTTTGTTTGCACGAACAGTCGAATTGGTTTTCACTGCATCATTACAACCACAGGGGGTGTGGGTACTCATTGTTTCCACAGTCAAGTGAAGTATTTTGTTTTACAAATGCCCTCAGGCGGTTTACACTCCCTACATCGGAGGGGAAGAAAAAATGTTCCTCATACTTCAGAGAGCAAACCAAAGTATCCCCTATTATGTCTGTGATGCATCAAATCCCTGCTGTGGCCTTGAATGTAGTTTTCCCCCCCAAAAACCGGAGGGTGACACGGTCAATATATTCACCACACAAGGCCACGTCCAGGCTAATCCAGAAGACTTTTCTCCCCTCTTCTCTTCTCTTTCTTTGTTTCACTCTCTCGCTCTCATTCCCTCGCTCTGTTTTTCAAACGTCTGTGCGGTTGAGGACAAATCAAAGGCTCTATTTTACTAATGTAACACTGAGCAGACTGTGAGGTGGCTGTGGGGATAATGAGGGACTGCAGAGATGTGAAACAGACAGGCTGAAATGGATAATTAGGACAGAAAGTTTCTGCGATGCCAATGACACTCTACAGGAAATAGGATCATTAAGTTCTATATAAAATCACTCTATGTACATTGTATCTATATAAAACTGCTCGTCCTCTTCATCCTTGTCATTACAACTTTTAATTTCATTACAACCAAGCTCTGTTTCAGGGAAGGTGCAGCCCTTACCTCTGTTTCAGAGAAATGTCACAGTGTAGCTACTTTAACTATCTTTATAACCACCTGTGAAATATATTTAGTATAATTGCTGCTTTGACCCGTCAGAGAAATACATGAATACTTCTTGTCCTCTCGCATGAGCGCCCACTTAAAGCCATTCTGCATTTCCAATAGTCTTGATTTGAAATGTGCAGACAGAAGTTATGCTGTCTGATTGTTAGGACAGCATGAGGATGAAAAGGACAACCTCGCAGGTTCATAGCACTCAGGAGTATTTCACTCCGCAGCTGAGGGTCTTCTGCAGGCAAACTGGATAATGAGCCACAATAGCTGTTAAAAGGCGTTTGAGGGAGATATCATGCTACGCTGCTCTATTATGATTAGATTTCTCCTTGACAATATGAAAAGATCAAATCAATATCTACTGAGATTTTGATGATCCACAAGCCACCCCTTCCCAGTCCCCCCCCCTCCAGGGCTCTATTGACAGAGCATGATCTGACATCACCGCGGTAACGCCATGCTTTTCTCTGCTACTATGAAAATATGTAACTTCGATTAGTGAAATGCTGAGGAAATGCCCTGTGCTTTGGATTTCCTCCCAAATGTTGCTGTTTGGATACCAATGACAGGACCTATTGTGTTTCACTTTAAAGCAATTCAATTAGGAGTCATTAGTCCTCTGAGTGATTACCAGTGGCCTATCGATAGCGAGGAAGGACACGCTAATTAAAGGGCGTTTAAATGTTTCTCTGTGCAGAGTTAGGGGAAGAAACACAGCATTTAAAATGCAGTTTGCAGGAAAATATCCTTGCGCAGCAAACGACTGAAAAAACATGTTCGCTTTGCTGTCTGCAAATTCCCTTTATAGACACACATATACGGGAATGGATCCCCGAGGAATACTTAAAGATGGTCATACAACAGTCGACAAGCTAACAGCCATGCTAGTGTGCAGGTAAATATTCAGATGTTATGGTTTCCCACTTAAGAGTAAAAAAAATAAAAAAGACAAATAGCAGAACTGATGTAATCATGGCACGCATTTATAGCACATATGTGAAATTGAATATAAGCATTTCACTAAAAGGGAAGATTGGATTATCTTTCATTTTTAATTGACTGTCAGTGTTTTGCATCTTTGAGTTCATTGTATCAGAGATGGATCGGTACTTTCACAGCCTATCATGAAGTTAATCTCATTCTTAGATGAATGGTAGTGCTTATGCTGAAGGAAGGTGAAAAACTCCAAATCCATTTTCCTCTTCCTCTATAATATGTTGGTGCGTTTTATGCAATCATACTGTGCTGTGGAAATCATCAGAAGTGAAATTAAAGACCGTCTGTTTATCAAAAAGATGAATGCAGAAACATGGATTGTGGGAATGCATATTTAAACCTGGTGTATCACTACCTGATAAACGTATACGTATGTATGAATGTATGAAATGCAGCAGCTTTCGCACAGGTCACAACATTTAAACATGTATTTCTAAAGACTGATCATCCACAGCACAAGGACAGTGCAGCTGTACAGTGTGAGAGGACTGCTTTGCGTTAACATAGTGAGAGCTATATTGATTAAAGTATGATAAGAAGAAGCTCCAGTCCCAGGACAGTGCCTTTACGGCTATGATTAAATACGCTGCACCAAGCAAGGACCTATATCTAAGACAGAAGCTTTGCATCTATAAACAGCAAATGATCTTTCTCCCTTATATGAAATTGACGAGAATAAGAGCTCTAATATCCTTTCTGTATCTGTTTTAGATATTGAAGTGAATGCAGCCATCACAACATCATACTGTTAGGAGTTGTTGTTTCTCCCAAATGGGTCAATGGAGCTTTTAAATCAAAAATATTCACTGTCATGGCTTTTTTACTAAATTAATGGCAGCAGTGTTACTCGGCCAATAAATACCAAAAGTAAAAGACCACACTGAAAAGATGCGAAACCTTGAAAAGTATCTTAGAAATCTGAAGGACCCGTGAATAGCAGCCAAGGATAAACAAATGTACAATAGTGAATATAACATGGTAATGAGATAGTATGAGTGGCTGTAAAAGTGGATCTTTCTACAATGTTAACATTTATCTGGGTGTCACGTGCAATAGAAATTACTTCAGGCTGGGGAACTTCCTTTTATGAATCGTTATGGACAAGCAGCCTGATGAACTTACTGTGATGATGGGCGCTAAAGTGTGCTGGGGGAAACAATAACTTTACAAAACTTCAAATATTCAAATAAATATTCAACAATTAGGTTAGCTTAAAGAAATCAACTGCATCAATTTAAAATCCATATACATTTTTTTTATCCACACAAATGAGTAGAGGTAAAGAGCAAATGTTGCAACAGTAAACAGAACATGACATCTGACATAAATCGAGGCAAAAAGAGCTGACCTTGCAGAAAATATATATTTTATGTTTACAAAATATTATTAATGAAAATATAAGGATCGAAAAAATATTTCAACTGGGGCTCCACAAAAAAACGAACATGAGCCTCGCCTTTAATTTAAAATGTTGTACATACTATACTCTGACATGAATGAGACACATCTTTAAAAAAAACAATGAAGGATTTTGTGCTTACATTTTAACCTGTTTGGTTTAATTCCATCTTAATGTAAATGGTAAATGGACTTGAGCTTATATAGTGCTTTTCTAGTCTTACGACTACTCAAAGTGCTTTTACACCGCAGGTCACAACCACCCATTCACACACTGATGGTAGTTATCGCTATGTAGTATCATCCATCAGAAGTAACTAATCCCACTCATACACCACAGCGGGAGCAACTTGGGGTTAAGTGTCTTGCCCAAGGACACATCGGACATGTTGCCCAGGTGGGGATTGAACCCTCGACCTTCCAGTTGAGAGGCGACGATAATACTTGATAACATATATTTTTTAAACAATGCAAAATGTTTTGTTTAACCTTAGTTAAGGTTAGCTGATCCAAAAATGGGTTTATTATCAAAGTATTAACGATAAATAGTTTTGTTTTTCACTGGTGTTGAACTCCACTGTGATGAAAGGGTCAACATGTATATTTAGTATAAGATTGTTGATAACATTTCTGATTTCATCCCAGTTCTTTACAGTCCAACATAAATACATCTGTAGTTATTTTGTGTAGTGAAGGAGGAGAAGCTCTGAATCTTAAATCATTATAATTTAAGGTCAAATATTGACCTGGACGTGTAGAAGTGTGTACAAAATAGTACACAGTAGCACCAATACATTTTGTGTTTATTTATTTATGCACTTGCATAACCAAATGAAACCATTACTAAAGAGACAAATTTCCTCATTTACAATTAAAAACA